AGATGATCATACGATAATGCTGTTTGCTCAATTCACTTCTCTCTCTCTCTCTCTCCATAGCCTTCTACTCTACACAGGAAACGATTTGCCATGGCTTGGCCTAGGAAGGCCATCGAAATGAGCTCCGAAAAGCCTTTTACAGCCAACTATTTGTCTCTGTGCAGGCTTATCCCATCTCTCTCACTTGGTTGTTGCATGTTAATGATGCACAATTGCAGGCTGCAGCAGTATCAGCGCAACATTGGAATGCCAACAATGGCCACTTGGGCCCATTATGCTCCGATGGACGTCCACGTCTGTCGCATTTTGCTGATTCTGTCGATTTGGCTGCGGCTTGTTATACGCCAAAGCAGCTGAAGAAGACGAGATAGCTCCACCTTCTTCTACTGCCCACTCCTTTCTTCTGGTGCGTGGCCTATTGGATTTGTTTTGGCCATGTCTTGTCTTGGCCCTGATGTCTTTTCGCTATGTGGTGAGTGAGTAGTGCTAATGATCAGCCTGCCTGCCTGCCTGCCTGCCTGCCTGCCCTACGGTTTCCCCATGTAATTGACCTTTCTTTTGACGACTTTATCTTTGCCGCAATCTTTGACTTCTCTCGCCACTTTCATCGTTATCTGTGAAAAGTACCTGACTCAGTCTATATCATTATTTACTATATTATGTATGGTAGTTAGCTTTTATCGATAGCACTAATCAATATTTGTAACTTTCCTTTTGATAAGTGAAAATTACCCCCTTCTCCGCCCGCCTTGCTCATTTCCTAAGACACTCAATCATCTCTCTCAGCGGAATCCCTAGTCGAGTCGCATTAATCTGACATCTTTCGGGAAAGGATGTCTCTCCACTTTCCTAATGCCATCCCAAATCAATCCCCAGAGATCGCTCAAACAATCGGCAGGCACAGCCTGGGTGAAACTTTTCCACTTTTCGCTCAGGTGTCGAACAGAGAGCTTGGATGTGTGATTGGGAAAGTGCGTTGTGCGGGTATTACCCTCCTTCTGTACTGCCCCCCCATCGTCCTCATCGACCAGGCTCCTCCGCCAAATCACGCTCAATTTGCAGCAGTCGCGAGAGAAGTTGGAGAGACTGGGTCGGTCCCCAATGCTGGCATCGAGAAGTGGGAGCCCCAAGTCGGGCAAGCGGTCGGTCACATGGAATTAGGCCAAGTTCTGGCCAACCACACACACACACACTCGTACATACATACTTGTAAAGACACGTCGCCAGTGGCGTTTTGGGTATTGGAGCCATGTCAAAGATTCCGCCGTTTGGGCCAGCATTTCAGTTGCAATCTGTTGGAGGACTGCAAGACTGGAAGACTGGAAGACTGGGGCATGCAAATCCGTTCAAATGCAGCAATTGAATGTGGGTCAGGCGGATATTCCATTTGGCTGGGTCCACTACTTGGGTTCGCCGATCTTGGACACTTGCTCCCCCGGTTCCTTTTCCCACTTTCCACTTCAAACTGAAGTGTTTGGGGTTTGGGAAGTTGAAGCTGAATCAAACCAGTTCCCAGCCGCCATCTCTCTTCGGCTCATTCCTGTGCCTTTTCTCTACACAGAACATGCTTTTTGCATATATTTTAATGATCGTTTGATAAGTCAAAGGTGTTCTACCTTAAAAGCAAATTATTTCTCAAACCCAAACCCAACACACAACTCACTGATCTTCAAGTTGATTTTTATTATATAGAAAGAAGAATGACTCGTTTTTTGTTTCAATGTATTTGTCACTTCTTCTTCTTGTTGTTCTTCTCGTTCTCAAATGAGAAAATGAGTTTCTGCGGTTTCTCGACTTCTTGACTTCTCGGTTTGGTATCCTTACCGACTCGCTTTTTATGCCGCTGGTAATCATAATGATGAGAATGGAATCTCGCGTATTTATGCCAGGCAGTAATCGGTTATAGGTGCCACAAAGCTCTCGACAAAACACCAATTGAAGAGCAACTGCTTACAGAACTGGATGTGTAACCGGGGGACTCGTTTAATGTGTAAACCATAAATCTGAAATCTGCAATCTGCAATCTGCAGTCTGAAGTTTCATTTGCTACCTTTCATTCGCCGTGTTTATTACCTGTAATTTCTCCAGCCATGCGGTTAGATTTATATGAGGCTTCTTCTGCTCGAGATGGTCTCATTAATCGGCCTATTTAACGACCCATTATCGATTCTCATATTATCATTGCACTTATTCCTACCATTTATTCCCTTTCTAATGCTTAGTTCCCATTGCTAATCTAATGATCTTAATCCCTACTTCATCTGCTAAGTTTCTCATTAAAAAAAAACTCTTTCAAATTTCAATTTATAGAAAAGAGAAATCTCTTTTAGCCATCAACTGTCGAATCGATCTCATTCTGTCACCGATTTCCTGGCCTTAACCATTTTCACCTCAGCTATTTGGTTTTTCGTTTCGTGTTTTGTGCTAAGAGCCAAGTTAATTCGCCCGCTTTCTGGCTTCTTGTCTTTGCATTTTCCTTAACTTTTTGTTTGCCACTCGAATGTGGAGCGACCTAACCCAAAACTCTCATTATGCAGTGCCATATAGCCAGTAGCCTCTTTCCTTCCCCCGCCGACTACGTGCCCTGTCAAAAGGTTTCAATTTTTTCCCCACATTTGTCGCTTGAGAACTTTTCATTTTCATTTCTCTTGGAGGGAGAGGAGCTGAAATTTATTATGCACATCGCTGTTGGCACGACCTAAGACAATCTGGCCCAGAGAAGACCTGTGTACCAAATTTCCAACCGAGAAACCACCTCATTCACATGCCACTCAGGCCCCTCTGACTTGGACTTGTACTTCGACTTGGACTTGAATTTGGATTTGGCGTTGGACATGGCCAGAGGTGGAGTGGAACTGGAGGTGATGGAAAGTGGGGAGTGGGGAGTGGGAGGAGCAGCCGAGATCGTGGCATGCCGACATGTGACTGCGATCTCCCAAAGCTGCAAAGATGCAGCTCCTCTTCGTGGGCACAGTGGTTCGCAAATGACTTCCAGCTGAGTTCCTACTAAAAATGAAAAATTTGTGACACAGAAAACTCTTCTTTTTCGGGGAAATTCTACAGCAATCTCTTCTGTTATTAATTGGGTTAAATTTTCAGTAGAAAGCTTCTTAGCTATTCTTCCATGCCATTTTGGGATTTCACTCATTTTGCCAGCAAGGAAAACCAAACAGATATCAATGTACGACGGGGCCATCCATTATTCTCGTTGTCATAACATACGCCAGATGAATATGGCCAAGCACAACACCAACCATTGGCAATAGGCAGCAGCAGCAGAAATGGCTGAAAGGGAAGCCATGGAGTCGATGGACAATGGCAATCGCCCTCCGCCCATTTTATTTATCACTTTTGTCGGTGCTCTTGACTTTGAGTCAGGCCTCGCCACACACTTGGAAAAAACTTTGGGTGGCGTTTTACAGCATTTTATATTTCTGTCTTTAGAGATGCAAAACAAAAGGGATTTGAGTTTCTGTGTTTCTCTTTTTACCGAAGTTAGAACCAAAGAAAACCCTAACAAATATTGGGATTTTTACAAGGGTCGTAGCACAGTTTTTCGCCTTAAATAAATAAGAATTTTGTTCATAACTTAGCTAAAACTGCTCGTAGCGTGGAATGTAATATCTCGTTGAGTTTGTCTTTTAAATCCTAGTCGATCTCTATTCACACTTTAAAAAGTAAAATTTTTGCCATTTTTTGAAAGTTTTGATGATGTTACCCCTTATTGAAAATGCAAAAATTGCTTACTCCCATTTTCCTCCTCAAGACGACAGTATTTTGCTCATAACTTGGCCTATAATGGGTCAAATATGGAATGCATTACCTCGTTGAGTTTGTTTTCGAATTTCCAACAAAACTGTTTACCCACCTTGAAAAGTAAAATTTTTGCTACTTTTCATAATTTTTGATGATGTTACCCCTTATCGAAAGTGTGATATTTGGCTTCTCCCCATTTCCCCCAAACATTGGTAGTATTCTCCTCATAACTAAGGCAATAATGGTCCAAATATAGATTGTAATACCTCATTGAGCTCGTAATTTAATTTCCAATAAAACTGTGTCCCCACCTTGAAACGTAAAAATCTTTCCATTTTTCGTTATTTTTGATGGTGTTTACAGAAAATCCAAAAAATTGTTAAAAAATTAAATCCACAAAATCATCAATCGAATGATGAGGAAAGTTTGGTTTGGTCGAAAGCTGCTCAAAACAGTCTTTGGTTTAGCTCTAAGCCTTGTTTTGGCTAAGTTATAGGAATAAAACCGATCAGAAATAGTACCATTATCTGTCGAAACTCAAAATCCTGACTTTAGCTCAAAAGTAATCAGAATTCTTTTCATAACAAAACCAATAATTGTCGGAATGTGGAATGCCATACATCACTGAATTCGTTATTAAAATTCCATTCGAACTGCATTCACAGTTTAAAATGTCAAATTTTGTCCGTTTCTTTCAAATTTCATGATGGCAGCTTCCTATTTTGCTCTCTGTACGATGAACTCTTCCGTAGATGTACCTACAAGTCATAGATATGCCGATCGACATGTATGTTTCGTTTCGATTCGTGAAAACGTGCGCGACATGCGGAGAATTCAATAAATAAAATCAAATAAATTCGGTGAAAGCGAGAACTTCGGGGCGGCCAAGGGGGCGGGCCAGAAGCAGAAGTCGTGTTGCTGCTAATGGCCTCCCCCGAACCGCCTCATGGCAACCGTAGGCTGCCTCCCCTTGCTTTTTGGCATTTTCCCATGGATCTCTTTTCGTATTTTTCTGGTTTTATGGCTCAAACGCGCCTCACGCCTCGCCAAAAAAAAAACCAAAAGCAAAAAGCAAACTGGCTATAATAAATCAATCAAAGGGAATAGTTAGTTAGGCCAAAAGAATCGAAGAAGGCGGTCGAGAAAAAGCAGAGAAGCCATCTGACTAATTACAGAAAGACAAACGAAAGGAAAACCTTTCAACGAAATGGAAACTTCTTTAAGCCAAACCGATTTTTGCCTACCTGATTTGCTTTCGTTTTCTTCTTGGGTCGGTCTTCGACGTCGTTTTCTGAAAGTACAAACAAACCATAATAATGAGCCATTTGGATGTGACTTGTTTGGGCAAACAGTAGAAAATATTTTGATAAATGATAAATGGCTGGAGGAAAGGCCATCAAATGGCTATAAAAATGCGGCCTAAAAGGTATGCGAGTATGTGCCTAATTAAGTTAACTTTACTACTGGCAAAATGAGGGAAAAATTCAGGAAAAACAAGTAGGAAAATGCCTTTTTTGGCCTTAACAAAGAGATTAAAAATGTCAAAACGAAAGATCCTAATGGGAAAATGAGTGAAAGTAAGGTACTTCGCCTGGCATTTCTTTGGAAATCGAATAATTATTTGAAATTTAATCAACATTGAGATCATAAACTGCAGACTCTTGCCAGTTAGAATTACTTTTTGTGGTTCTGGGCAATCATAATCTCGGGCTGACCGTTTTCCCAGCCTTTTCGGAAGACTCGTCTCCTCAAAACAAAGCCCATCAATCTTGTGATCTAATCAAAATCCACCGATCGAAGCTCGTAGATCACACTAAATTTTTGTGGTTTGCTGCATTTTCCTAGGCCAACAGTCTATATCTTTACAGTTCTAACGGTAAGTCGCAGCTCATCCATAACCACTTTTTCGATTGTTCCATCAGCGGAGGGGAAAAAAAAAGGTGGAAGAAAAACCGAAACTGAATTGCGTTCGCTCTGCATAAATTGCGGTCCAGGAAAGTCTCCCTCTGGCCAGTCTTTTGGCCACTTTGCAAGTCTTTATAATAAAGAAAAAGAAACGAAAAACGAAAAAAGAAAAAAGAAAGAGGAGTAGGGCCGCGGCAGGGAGAAGAAAAATATGTTATGCATGGCAATTTTCCATTTTGAGGCCTCCGACTTTGTCTAATGTCATGTATTATCCAAGGAGAGGCGAAAAGAAGAATGAGCCAAGTGTCCAGAAGGCCAAGACCATTGTCTTTTCATCTTTTCCCCCCCTCCTGTTTTTCTTTGTGGGCAGGGCGCTAGCCAAAAGTGAAATATTTCAAACACCAAGTCGTGTCGCATTCCCAGAGAACTCTGCCGCCGCCTCTAGAACTTGCATCTTGAAGATGCAGATTGCCATTTCTGCAGGCCTCCTCCTGCCTTTCTGGTGTTTGTTGCAGTTTGCAGTTTGCAGTTTGCAGTGTCATCTTTGCTTGAGTAAACAGAGCAGCACCGAATGGAGAAAGGGACGTAGAAGAGACGTTGTGGGCAATGCAGATTTGCATTTGCCCCGCAGATGGATCTTCCTTTGTTCGGCCTTCTCATGTATGCAAATCTCGGCAAGATTTAATGGTCACACACAACGGATATGGATATGGCCAGCTGGTTAGATGGTTAGGTGGTTACTTGGCTAGCTGGTTAGAAGGTTCTCCTTATCCATTCTAATCAATTCAATTACACTTCAAGTCCTTCACATAATTGTAATGGCGGATGGGGTTAAGGATGTTGAGAACTTGTTAGGCGATCTGAACAGATCTCCTCAAGGAGAAACCAGAAAAGGGAAGAACAACTCTCGAAGGCATTTCATAAGTAGATATATTGCTATCTGAAAATAAAAACTATTTCCCAATTACCAATCGCAATTAGTCTGCTAAAAAAACCCAGAAACATTAAGTTAGGCCATCAAATAGAAAGCCAAGACAGTAAACCCCATTTAAAGAGAACCCTGTAAGCCACTTAACACATGGCCACTCTGCAGGTAACCCATTGTATTAGCGGCTATAAATAGAAAACCATTATCCTAATGCCTCTAGACATTTGCTCTTCGGCGAAGGACCTCCCCTGGACATTGTTACCCAAGACACATTCTGCTCCAAATCCCCTAAATTCCCCATGGACTTCAGACTCTGCCATGTCCAAACGATGTCTCTTTCTCGGCCTTCCATTTTCGCCTTTCGTTTCCCTCGCTGCTGTTGATTTTTTGGCCATTAAATTCGAGCAGCGACGACATTACCCAAATGGCTGACATGGCCGGGACATTGATGATGTGGATGTGGTCGTGGATGTGGACCCCAGAATCTAGAGGCTAGGATCCAGAATCGAGAATCCAGAGCTCCCCCAGACTAAACATCTCCGCGGGGACCGCTTGTGCGATTTCTTGGCTGTTCGTTGTTCGGTTGTTCGTTTGGTTGTTTTGGCTTGTTCTAATTGTTGTTTTACCTCGTTCGTTTGGCGTTTGCGTGTGTGATAAGTTGGTACTATATATATACATATAGATACCTCCTGCCTATGCCTATGCCTATATAGTGGCCACAGATCTACTCCTGGCTCGGTTCGGTTCGGTTTGGTTTGGGTGTTTAACTGCGATTTGAGTCACGTTTCATTACTCGTGATGCCAGACAGTAATCACTTGATTTTCCAAGCGGCTTTCTTGTTCCAAGGAGTTGCTAGTTGCTAGTTGCCAGCTCTTGGTGTTGCTGCTGCTGCTCTTCTACTGCTTCTGCTGCTTCTGCTGTCACAGACCAGATCAGACACGAAAAGCTGGCCAACTGGATGGCCAACAGACCTTGGCCAAAAGGTGCTACCAAAAGCGGCAGCAAAATGGCACACAAATCTTGTTAGGCAAGTACAACAGCAACATCACCGTAGCAACAGCAACAGCAGCAGCAGCAGCAGCAACATGTATTCCTCTGCGGGCTTAGGGGTATTCTTTGGGGGTCATAAATAGAGCCTTGCACTTACGCTACACAGGGAGAAAAAACCAACTCAATGTTGATGGTTTTTAGGTTCTAATTCTAATCAAATTCCCTTTGATATTTCATCTTTAAGAAAGATCATATCCCTTTCCTAATCATAACCATTAAAGGTTTCTTTCAGTGCCCCGTGACTCACGAGTTCGTGCCCTCCGAGGATTTGGAGTTGCCAATGGCCAGGTTGCTTCTAATTTGGATTTTATGCTTTGATCTCGTGACGCTTGTCATTGCGGTCACTCGCACATGAAGAGAGCCAGATGAGGCGGCTGAGGGGATCTGAGGGGCTAAAGGAGAAGTAAAAATGAGCCTAAAAGCAGGAGGATTAAAGGTGGCCCAAGAGTGGTGGAGGAAGAGGCCAAATTGCTGGCGACGCCAGCGATAATCAATTAACCTGGCTCACTGGGCAGTCGCCTTCGGATGTGGCCGAGATATTGCTGCAGCCGCATGTTGCATGTTGCATGTTGCTGCGGGATAGCCAATGGATTCGCCGCTGGAGCCTCCTCCCCACGAATCGACGTCGCTGATGAAGTTTTCCGCCGACTTTGATTGCGGTTGAATTTTCATCGCCACATTTTTTTTTTTTTTTTTTCAATTTTCCTTTTTCGCGGTTAACCCCGAATCGAGGTCCAAAGAAAATTCCGCAATTGCTATTCACGGAAAAGCTGCTTGGCAATATTTAAATTTCTGTTTCTGCTGCGGAAAAGCCAACATAAATATTCTTGAGTTTTGAGTCCAATTAAGTTTGTAGCTTTTCTCTTAAGAAAATACTTGAGTAAATATACTTTTTAAGAGCGATTCTTTGTCGATGAAACCTAGTCGAAGCCTAGGAAGATTTGTGGGCGTGCCTTTGGTGGGCGATTTTCCATCGCGTGCGACATTAGATTTTTGGCTGTGACTCCATTTTCCCCATTTTTGGTGGTAAGCACGCCTTTCCTTCCACTCCTTTCCTGCCAGTCCTCATCTGATTTTACATGGCACGTACCGCAGATTTGTTTTTTAACAATCTTGTGGAGTTTTCGTTGTTAAGGCCAGCGCCGAAAGCGCAGAAGGAAAGGCTACGACACGGAGGCCCAAAAAGACGGCAGCTGGCCAAAGCCAAGTCATCCGAGTTGGCCTCCAGTCTTAAGTAGGTTAATTTTGACCGGTTTGTCTTCTCGTTGCCTCTCTCTCTCTCTCTCTCTCTCTTGTTAAGAGTAACCAACAACATGCTGCTCCTCCGCTGTGTCCATGGTCGTCTCTGATGTTCCTGATTGACTGGCGTCGTGGGACTGCGGCATTTGCCTGATTAACCCGAGTTTCAGCTGATTTAATGAGGCAGCCACATGTCGCCTGGCTGCCCCCCCCTTTCGGACTTTCCTTTAACAACTCCTGATTTTGCTTCTTCATTAGAGAGATCTTGTTGAGCGGTGGAGAAACTTAAAAAGCTTGTTAGATGGCAACTCCAACTGGCTATATATCTCTCTTTTAAGGATCAAAAAGGATCCTCTTTTAACTAATGAAAAGATATTCTGATTTCAGTCTTAAGTCTGAAAGCATTTCTACGGACAGCGAAAGAGTTGGCTAAAAGACTTGCAATACCCGCTCCTCTGATTAGGCCTTATTTGAGATCTGCGGCCGCGGCAATTTCTTCTTTCTATTTCTGCCCGATGACGTTGATAATGATGTTGCACATAGCTATCATGATCATGATCATCATGATCATCATCATGATCAAGCTGGTCAGCACAGCGTGGAAATGGAACAGAGCGGAGCGGAGCGGTTGTCGCCATGAAATCATGTTAGAAATTTGAGACAAATTTCTTTGTCGTTTGTGCTTGCTTTCAAATTGCTTTTGGCCATTTCGTTGTCGGCGGCTGGCTAACGGCAATCAAATGGCAAGCGGAATCAGAACGGAATGTCAAAAACCGGAACGGAATGGAATGGCTGGAATCTGAGTGAAAGAACGTCTAATTATGTTACACTGACATGGGATTAGGTTAGGTTTTATACACATAATAAGGTTTGGTCAATCTTAAGTGGGATCGGAAAACCATGTCCTCGACTCCTCCATGGAGATTCCACCTTCTTTATCATGGTAATCCCTAGCACTTCTGGCTCGTTCTTGATTTTATGTAACTATTCGGATGGATCACTCAATAAGCGACTTCCTCCCTGCGCCTTTCGACACTTTTGGTTTGACTGCTGGCCAAGATCGGTAGATACACTGCCAGCATATGCTTGGGGTTTGCAACTCGATGGCTTCACATATTTACATAGCTATCAGCCCAGTTAGCACTTGGCTTAGCCCACAAATGGACAGGGCCTTTTCGTTTTGGAAGCGGGTCAAAAGCAGTCCATCTAGCTGGCGAAGGGCTAAGGCTGTGCTTTTCAGCTTGACTCGACTTGACTTTGGCTTTGACTTTGGCCAACATCGAAGTCCAAGTCAGAGTCGTTTTGGCTTCGCTGCCTTAACAGGCGAAAAAGCGACCAGAACAAAGACTGCACTGAAAGAAAAAACAAGCTGAACTGGCACTGAGGTTAATCATAAGGGAAAAATGATGTCTGAGGCGGTTAACGCATTCCAAGAAGTCCCTGAATCGATGGCATTTTCGCTGCAGTGCACCTCCTATATTGGACTCTATATCCCCAGTCGCTGGTTATCTTCGTCTTGGTCGTCTGCCCCTTTAGCATAAAACATAAATAGCAACTGCATTCAAATGAGTCTGACAAACAAACTGAGAAACTGAGAAACTGAGCAAATGAGAGACTGAGAGACTGAGGGGCCGTGTGGCGTGGATGAAAAATGCAAATGCTTAGACCATGTTGGGTTCGAGATGTCGGTTCTGTTTCTGTTTTGGTTTCTGGAGGGGCTACCTAAGCTAAAGAGCTGGCTTAGCCATCCAGCTAGCCAGCCAACCGAGCGTGGGCAGCTCCATAGATGGCGATGTCGCCTCAAAAGATGATGATGTCCTTTAGCCGCATTTGGGGATTTCGACGGCCCCTTTTCGGAAACCGGAGACCGAACATCGACTACAACATACCAAACGACCGCTGAGCGAAGCAAATATTCTATAATTGCAATTATTTTTCATATTTAATGAAGCCGAAGAGCCCTCACCCGGGCCGGCCATACGATCGATCCGTTGTGATTTTGCTCTTTAATGAGACTCCCAGTTGGCAATTTGATCGCTCGTTTATGGCTAAATTGCTAGATTTGGCTAGACTAAAGGGGATCTGAGCAAGCCGAAAGGATTTACTGAGATTATTACAAGAATAATGGTTAAAAATCATAAAAAATCAGGACTATTAAGTGCTTAAATCTTAATTAAATAAGCAACTTTTACTACATACTATTATTTAGTTTATAAATTGTAGATCTTAGTGCTCCCAGGTTGGCCTTTTCTTTGGGTCACTCTATCTGATATCCCGAGCCTAAGTTGGATTCCAAGTAATCGCTGGACAGAAATCTCGCCACGAAATGGGTCAGGGGAGAAAGACAACTTGAACGGATGGATAAATGATTCCGACTCTTTTTTCGGGCAATTACTATTTGACTAACGCCAAGAAGTCCAAGTCAAAGTCCGGAAAATCTAGCCAGCTGGAATCCCCCAAGCCTCTGGCAACGAGAACAGCGGAAAAAGAGTGATGACAGACAGTCGGGCTGATTGACTGATGGGCCCTAAGTAACTAAAATTGCATAAGTCGGCAAGTCCCCATCCTCATCCTCATCCCATTCCCATTCCCATTCCCGTTTCCTAGGCTTCGATCCTCCTGACTCTATTCCCGATGCGATTCGCTTTGGTTTTCTTTGCTTTTGGTTTAATGCTAATCGAATGTCTCCCGTCTGGATCTTTGTCTTTTGGTCCCCCAACCGCCTGTCAGTCAGTCAAAGATTCTTCTTTGGCCAACGAAGATGAAGTTGGCAGTCGTCCAAGATGGAGAGCCGCAGCTCCTGCTGCCTGCTCAGACCCAAAACAAACCCCCAGCAGCACCAACACACAGTTTCATAAACTCGGCAAACAAATGAAAGCTGCCAGCCACCGTTGCTTCTGTTCTGCCGCCGCCAAACGACTCTTTCCCATTTTCCATCTTCCATTTCCCATTTTCAGATGTTGCGTGCATTAATATTTGGAAATGTTTACAGCTTGTTCTTGGCTTTCTGTTAATTTTAACTATTAAAACTGAATCATTAGCCGATGATTTACAGCCTTACTGCTAGCTAGGCTGGCTGTCTTGTTAGCCAAATGTTTTTGTGGCCCAAAAGGGAAACTGTACCGTAAATCAAAAATCGTTCTCATAATATTGTCTTATCAGCGCCGCATCAACGGTTTCTCCTCTTTCTTTCTCCGACTTCTTTTACTTTCATGCTCAGCTGCTTGTTTTTTAGATGTTGCTGCTGTTGCTGTGATGTTGCTGTTGCTGCTGCTGCTGCTTGTTGTCCGTATTAGGCAGTGCTTATCTCTTTGGGGCTTTTCGAAAGGGGATGGATCTTAGAAAGGGGGGGCTGCTGCTGGCTTTTGGGAACAAGCTGGAACATTGTGTGACAATTTGTAGTCCACAATGGTCGGCTTTGTTGCCCCCTTTGCCCCCTGCAGCCCTCGGCGTTCGTCGACTGCTCTGCTTGATTTTTCAGTCTTTTTCAGTACTTCTCTTCTGGCTTCTTTGCTTTTCCTTGGCTTTCTGGCCCTGGCCGTGGCTCTGGTTCTGGCCCTGTCTCTGGCTCTGGCTCTAGCTTGAAATTGCCCATAAAGTACAAAATGTATGTGAATGGCCTTTGGCAAAACGGCTAGGCAGTGGCAGCAGCGGCGGCAACTTCGCTTTGCCAGTTCATGAAGAGCACACTTTTGTTGCCGCCGTTACTGCCGCACGCAATTTGGAATTTATTTACACAATAATTGGCAAGCTGAATCAATACAGAACGCTCTCGGCTGCCCACAAACAATAAATTCACAATTGCCACTTGATTGCCGAACAAAAGAGAGGGGCAGAGGCAATCGATAAATGTAATTGAAAAGGCAGAAATGTATATAGAGAATAATATCCGAGAAGCAGAGCTCCAAAGTATAATGGCCCAGGGAATTAATCGATATCCACTTAGGGGTCATATTAAATGGAGAGTCTTTCAGTCTTTTCATAAGCTAGTTTAACATTTTTCAGTGTATTTATCGAAGGAAATTTTGAATTTGATTCCGATTAAACTGACCATAATACACGATTTATGCTTTCGCCTGAGAGCAATAGCAAATTAGAGAAGAAACTATTCAGATTTTTTTCAGGGGAAACAGGGAAACTGGGAAACTGGGAAACGGATAAAGCCAAGCAGGGGTAGGGGCTTGGAAACCGCGCGGAAAAGCCCCAAACTCAGATGCCCATAGCTAGATAAGCTCTGAGCTTGAGTCTCCAAGTTCTAGCCCCGACCACAGTCCAAGGCATTCTCTAGATACAAGCGATAGATAGGTACATCCAAAGACCGAGACTTCCTCATAGCTGGGCCTCATAGAGCGGGCCAAGAGTGGATGGCCAAGACCGAGAGCATAACTTAATTAGTGCATGGACAATGACCGAAACCGAAACTTTGGCGAGGCCGCGAGGACAGAGATTCATCGGTTACTATCGATTATCGCCCGGGCCATGTGAGAACTTGTGGTAACGCCCTTTAGTTTTACAAAAAAAAAAAAAAGCAAAAAGAAGAAAAAACAGCGATAAGGCTTTAGTTTAGAGAGACCCCGGACAAGCCCAGAGAAAAGCGAATTAAGAATAGACAAAGACAAAATTAATTGCAATGACAGGCGACTGGAAAAGGTGCGGCTCTCTGAGAGAAACGCATCTTGGCATCCACCACATCACCTACCCAAACAGCATCCACAGCCCGATGATAATGCCAAGGGACAGGCGAGAGTCTGAAGTACTTCTACACGGAGAACTATTTCCTAGGCATTCTGTAAAATTCGGTTTATATTAGCGCGATCTGTTCCCTTTGTTCCCCTTTTCAAATTCTGCAATTTATTTTCGTTTTGTCAGCAGCCAGTGGCAGCGAGTTGGCCAACCTAATTGTAGAAGAGTCGTCAGGGCGGCTCAAACAAATCAAAGTCCTCTGCCCCATTGGCCACTGAACCAGTGAGCTTCGCCTTTACACTGCACCGGCTCTTGCTCCTTCGGGCATTACTCAATGTCACCAGAGGGCGGCTGGGCGGTAGAATGCCGCCAAAGCGTTTTGCGTTGATCGTCAATTAGTTACACTAAGTCGCCACTGGACAATTTATGGAGATGGTAGAGAAAGTCCCTCACGAAGGTGGGTCTAAGGTGAAATTTTTAAATAATAAATCTGGCAAGCCAATGAATGATGAGAATCTAACGACCTTGATTAACCTTTTGAACTGCCAAAAAAGATCTTTACCTTTACAGTCTTAAAGAGTTCCTTATTAGATCTTATATGTGCATAAAAGTTCGTGTCACGCAGCCATCCCTAAAACCGTAAAGACAGGCTAAATAATTGTGAAGACGATTGCCAGTCGAGGGTGCGCATTAAGGCAGCCGCAGAAGGTAGAGATGGATAGATGGATGCTATGGCCAAGTGGACAGACAGATGGACGAGGTTCGTCTGAGTGACTAATTGCCAGGCGATTGCCTCCTGCACCTCAACTATAAATAGAAGTGGACAACCAAAGAGGCGAAGTCGCACAAAAAGAGCCGGGCTGCAATGATGACGATTAGACTTAGATTGGATTGGGTGGAAAAGCGTTTCACTGGTTTCCATCTCCCGCAACCTTCAGCCAGTTCTCTACAAGCCAATCCAATCCCATCCAATCCACTCAACACCTGCCTTGATTTGTGATCGCAATTACAGCGGAAGACATAAAATACACACAAGTCCAGGTTGGGGTTCACCACTTCACTCTCTCACAATCTTCCACCACCTAAAACAAAAGTCTTCCTTCCATCCGTCTTCTTACCTTCTTCGGCTGAAATCTCCTCGTCTGATTCTTCTTCTGCGGCGACTTTAGCTGCAAAGAGAGAAAGAGTTTGTTTCAGTTTAGATAAGGTTTGATTAAAATTTATTATTCTTCTGGGTTATTTGTTTGTTAAGGGGAAATATGATAATTGCTGATGGGTCGTCTTTCAAGGTAATCTACAGAGATTTCTGGCTCCTTCCTCAAAGCAGTTTACCGCCGCCAAGCTTAAGTCTCTGATTTCTGTAGGTCTTTCCAGCATTTTGACAGCTCTTGTCTTGTCCACTCCCCCCTCTGCCTGTGTACTTTCTCTGATCATGGCAGCCCCAAAAACATCACCAGCTTAACGCAATCATCATCCCAGCTGCACCAGCTGCACCGCCGAATTTATTAGGAAGATTGTTTTCCCCTTGTTTTTGGCTTTGAAGGAAAACCAGTCAAAACTTTCAACAAATTATTGATAGATCTCAAGTGAGGAGCGCAGCTCAAGATGATCCCAATTCCGGCACTGCTACGCTTCAAGCTCCTCTCGAGATTGGGATCTGTTACTCGGACCAAGTGTTTTCTCTAACGGATCGCACTCCACCACCACCACTACTCCGGCAGAAAACAATGCCACTTAATTATAACATATCTCGGCCTCTCCATCGCATCGCATCTCTTTCTTCTACATCTCTTTCTATATATATATATATATCTACCATATATATTAATAACAGAAAATGCACTTTCCAGTCAAATGATGTTGAAAACGAGTTTCCAATCGATTTGTGCTGCCGCTGCTGCTGATGCTGTTGATGCTGCAGCGGGGTCCTCTTCTTCTTTTGCTGCTGGCCTTTATTGTTATTTTCTCTTCTCGTTTCGTTTAATTTAAGCCACTTTCCGGGGGGAAGGGGGTTGGTTACGTATATATATATATTGGCCTTTTACGATGGCAAAAGTTGAAAAATGAAAATTCCATTTGCGGCGGCCAGAGAGCGCGCGCGCCTCAGTTTTCAGTTCCCATTCAGATGCCGAAACTCCGATTCTGGTTCTTAAAAAACATGTTTTCTGTGGCATCTTCTTGCTGCGTAACGGTAACTACTAGTAGGTAGATACACAGATACAAAGATCTACAGCTTTTACCCCGCCAGAGCTAATGGCATATTGATATACAGGCGGGCTCCCCCCTCCTTCCTGACCGAACTATAGCATAGCCAGCCACACCCATTTGTGGGTTAAAGTCGCCCCGTGTCGACGACGAGAGCTTTTCCAGCAACGATGCCAGATTTGCATGCTACATGCTGAGTAATTAAAACAACAGCGAATGGCGAATGGTGGCTAACAGTGAGCGGTAAGCGGTAAGCGGTGAACGCTGTGCAGTGCAACATGCCAGCAATTAAGGCGGAGAATAAATGATTACTTGACCGAATTGTAAGTCGCCCCCCCCCCGCCGTCCGAGAGCCATAAAACAAAAGACTCCTCAAGAAACAAACGCGGCTAGGGAAAGCGAAGAAATAAATAATCATTTCCCATTCAAATGAAATGGCCATTGCTATGCAAATGCAAATGCAAATGCAAAGTGCAACGCCTCGCTGGATTTGCTCTGGATTTCAGATTCCGGTGGAGTTCGAGTTCGAGTTAGAGATTCGAAGTTGAAGATGGAAAAAGAAAAAGAAAAAGAAAGAACATTCGCACACTCCAAAAACACACTTTCCACCGCCCTGCCCTCCTCCTCTCAATTGCCATTTGCATACGCATGACGTTCGTAATTAGCCCTTCTTTTGCTGTTGTAAAGTCTCATTAAAGTATCTAGTACCCCCCGCCCTAGTACAGTGAACTCCAGTCCAGCCCACCTGAACCACAGAATAGAAGAGCAAGTACCGAGAACAAGGTATATGAACCTAATGGGCGGCACTCACGCACCCAAGAAAAACTTATAGGCTGGCCAACTCGTTTTTCCCTCCCCAACCACCCCCCCGAGCAACGTCAAGTGCACCGAAAAAACATTTGGAATGTGTCGAAATGAGAACTTGAAATTGACACTGGTCACGGACCCTAAGAAAATGAAATGGGAACACTTTCACACGTTCACGTTCACGTTCACGTTCACGTTAACCACCGGCTAGTAGTTTATCAGCTTTCTGATGACGGACAGATGGGAAGAAGACCTTTCTTTCTTTCAGCGCCCCATCAATCAATTTAAATTTATATTTGAATTTTTTGGTAATTTACACCGAGTAAAGCGAAAAGAAAGGAAGAACAGACGTCTTTAATTGGCTGTAATTATGATCTTAGCATTTCGTGCTTTCGGTAGATAAGCTTGTGAAAGTTATAATACCTTTCTTCTTTCCAAATAAGTTCATTTCGTTCTGAAGGAAAATATGCTAATTTTGGATGTAAGAAATGGTTAAGCTTAGGCCTTCATTGCTCGTGAAAGTTAAAGACTTTCGGCTGTTTCTTGAAGGCAATTGGTTTACAAATACAGAAGTGCTGATTGACGGGCAAATTGAAGGCATTTCAATGACGGCGGCATTCCATTCAGGTTTTATTAAGTACTCTAAAGACTCTAGGCTTGTTAACTTATGACGCTGATTTCCACTTTATTACTCCTAAAAGGCAGTGAGTTTTGTTTAAGGGAATCGTAATTAGCAGTTAACTCAACCTATGAACCTCTTGGCTACTCCTCAACGAATATGAAAATCGTTTTAATGAATGGAATTCATCATTTGATAAGTGATTTGTGACTACGCTCATTCGGCATCGCGTTTCTCCTGAACAATCAGCCATTCAGATTAGCCGGCATTTGCATTTGCATTGTTGGCTTGGAACCAGGCCGGGACGGACCGAGCCATTCATTCACTCGCTTATTGACCATTTAAGTGCATTCATTTAGCGTTTACTGCTATCGGCCTCATATCCCACTGAATATCAATTTTATGGCCTAATTGGGAACGAAAGTTTTGAATCCAGAATGCTCACAGCACAGGCAGCGTCATTGTGCGCTGTGAAGAAAACCAAAATCATAATCTAATAAACTGAAAATATCGAAAAACCGACCACAACTTTGGCCCACATTTTGGTGGCTTCCTCTCTGCGCGCAGGTCCAAGAACTATAAGCTAGCTATATAAGTCATAACTAAGAAGCATTTCGTTTTAATATGGCTTATAATACCAAATAAGGGGAGCGGGGAAGTTGGGCAGTTGGGAAGTCGGCGGACGGCGGACGGCGGACGGGGCTGTAAACAAAACAACCGTTGGAATAGCACAGATTCCTCAAGCGAGATCTTTGATGCTTGTTTTTTATTTTTTTTTATGGCATAAACAAGACTGTGTTTTCGTTTTGTTTCCGTCAAAAGAAAACGAAAAGATTTCAGCTGGAACGACGACGACGACGACGACGACGACACAAGTGCCAGATCATCGTCAGCGTCATCATTATGGCCAAAGAAGAAGAATCTACCCCATCACGATGATGATCTGGCTTATATTTGGTGTAATTACCATGGCCAAACGACGAAGCAAATTCGATTTGGAACAGTTTTCGTTTTATTGCCAAAATGAAAAATAAAAAAAGAGAAAAGAAGAAAGACAATCTAAGAATCAACCACTTTCCTGTCTTTTTTTCGATTCAAGGCCAAAGGCTGGCTTTGGCTGTACTTTCTTTAGCTGGCTTTGATTGCAGGAAGAAGTTCTTCTACTTTCTGATCTGAAACTAAATATATTTCTGTGATTACTCCACAGAACACGAAAACATAGCCCTTTAAGCACTAAATTACAAACTTGCCCGCCCCTCGAGACCAACTCTTTCGCTGACTTTAAGCCAGTCTGAGTACCCATGAGCCCAACTCTTAAGAATCCACTTCAATCATCACTCGTCACTCATGTGATCCTCACTCGCCACTCGTTGCTCATCACCCATCACCCATCAACCATCAACACGGCGGTCTTGTATCGCTTCACCATTCTTCAGCGGGCCCTCGAAACCCCCGAGTGGCGGCTGGAGAGTGGGTGAGCAGCTCTGCTCATTCGCCTGGCGAATCTCCAATTCCAACTCCCAAACAATTGTGTGCTGTCATTCGGCTGGGCCGAACAGGTGCCACCAATTGAATCCGAGCTGACCCACATAGGCAACCCAAAAACGAAGACGGAATAATGGGGGGGAGGAGGGGCGGGGCGTGTATCTGTGCCAAGCCAAGCGGCACAAGCCAAAAGAAGGCCACCAAAGCGGGAAGCTAATGAAATCTGAGATGCTAATGAGGGGAGGCTGAGAACACGAAGAGTGCTGTTCATTAGGTAATCATCGTCAAGCGTCAGTCAAAGACACTCTCTATACAAGGCCAAAGTGGCAATGAAAGGAAGTTCAGGATAGTTTTGGAATTTTTCAACCATCTTTCCAATCCAGGGAAGCAGCTGCAGTCACAGCCAGAGGGCGCTTTTTGTTAGTAACCAAGCTTAAGTTTCCCCAAGAAAATTTCCAAAGTCCGTTGGACTTTTTGTATTTTGATGTGCCAGATTGGAAGCAACCGAAGAAAGGCGAACTGGGTGTGTGGGGAAGAAGGAAAGAAGAAAGAGTAGAACAACACAGACCCAGATGGAGTGACCGCCAGAGGGCGCTTTTCCCGGCTCATCTCAATCAGACCGAATTCATTCGTTTCATTTGGAATTTCAAATTAGTCGGTCGCCCGCAACCAATTTCCGCTTTTGGTCTAAACTGGGCCAAAAACGTACGTTCGTTCGCGTTTAGCGTTAAATCTTTGCTTTTGTGTTCTTTTTTTTTTCTCCTTTTCGTTTTTGGGTCAACTTTGAACACGCATTGAAAAAGAGAAATGTGCCGAGTAAGTTGAGAGTTTAAAGTGGAAATCCGTCTTTAACGAGGAGAAAATGCGATGTTATTTGTCTAGTTTTTCTCTGTCTTATATTTTTTTTTGTTTTGTTTTGTTTTTCTGCCTCAATTGATGGATTGCGAGGTTGGCTTAATGGCGCTGTCGTTGATTTGCATCGCGGCAAGACATTAATTGATGTTGGGATGCTAATGCCTGCCCCTTGGGGTCGGTCGGGTCGGCATTTGGGTTCTTTGTTTGCCGCTTTTCTTTTCTTTAACCGAAGTGCAGAAGTTTTCCCGCCTGCAGGTACCTGGTTTACGGTTCCAGGTTCCATTTCCCATTTCCCAAAATCTCCTTTAATGTTCTCTCCTCTTTGTTCTATGTTCTGCACCTCACTGACTGACTGGTTTTCGTAACATTTTTACGATTCGATTATAAAAGTATAACCCGAGGTCGTTTTTATGCAAGATTATTACATTATTTCCGGGGCGCTAAAAACAATAAAGTTTTCATTCGAACCGAGTGCGTTTTGCTACTGGGAAACCCATTAAACCAGACGCCGCCAGACAGACCAACTGGGGCCCCCACCCTAAAAATGGGGTTTGGGCTGGGTTGGGTTTTCGTGTTGTCCCCTGTCTGCACTGGTAGTATCTGCTACTTCTTCTGTGTTTCTTCACATTGCCAACCGCAATGTTCTTCTGCCACTGCTTCTGCTTCGGCGGTGGTGTTTTTTTTTTTTTTAATGCGTTTCTCATGCTCTCGGGACCGTTGCTTTAGTTTTTCTGCGCACACGCACAAGAACACTGGCCACTAAATGCTTTCCTAATGAATTGGGTGACCATACCGCTGGGTAATAACGGTTAATTGCGTTAATGACTTTAGCAGAATACTGAAAAACTGAAACAGCCAAGAGCCAAACGGCGAGAAAAGAGCATAAGGGGTTAGCCCCCTTGCCACTTGCAACTTCAAATTTTCAAGCTTTACTTTTTTTCGAGATTATTTTGCAAATGGCAAGAAAATCTTAAAACGAAATCTGTTTTGGTAATCAGAAAGGCAAGTCATGTCATTCTTCATTCATAAACATCACTTCCAGGTGTTGAATTTTCCAATGAACTTGGAAATGTAGCAAGCCTTGCAAAGGCATCCCTCATTGGTCATGCACATGAGCAACGTGCCACGGACTTTCAACGAAATCTGTCGAAAGACTTAGGCAACGAACTTTATTCTTCTTTCAAGTTCGTTGCCTAAGTCTTTCGTTTCCTACGGGCCAACGGCAAGAAGGTAGAATTTTGAGCAGGTGACAATTGGCAGGGCAAATATAAGCGAAAGAAGCGGGGAAGAGACCTCCTGGTCAGAGACCTACTCACTCAGCAAGGTGTCACTTCTGGCGACGCGAAAGGAGGCAATCATGATCGCAATGGAAACGAAAACAAATATAGAAAGAAAAAAGAAGGTGCAGCAGAATGGAAGAGAGAGAGAGGAGGCACGCATTATTTAAGTGGAATTTTCTGAATTTTCTATTTACTTTGGGTGTAGAAATTCATGCTTGTTGGGAACATTATTAGGAGTTATGACATGATCGTAGGGCCCCCTTAAGTTTGAATCATTTTTGAAGGCGTTTTAGGAATATGACTAGAAAAGTGATTAGAAATCTTTCTGTTTCTTTTTCCAAGCCTCCTTGTTGTTGTGTTTTTATTTTTAGTATTATATATTCCAAATGCTTGAAGTTTATAGACATTTTATGTTGGCCTTTCCAAAGTTTAACTCAAAAGAGGATGTCCTTATATAGTTTATGATTTATTTTTCAGTTGATATAAACTCTTGGTTCACACTTTTTTCCTTCCACTTTGATTTCAAAACAAAAAAATATGTAAAAAAAAATCACTTGAGCCGAACTGATCTTACCTTTTCGCTTAGTAAATATTGCACTGTTCTCCTGGCTTTCAACGTTAATCCTTTTCGGGAGTGTTTCTCAGTGTGTTTTTGCACTTTCACAGTTTGTGTTTTGTTATGATTTGTTGTGGCGGCGTTCACTTGTGGTTGTGTTCACTTGCCGAAATCGCAGCCGCAAGGAGTGGGATTTTTCACACACGCGATTGAACCAAAAAAAAAAAAGAATGTGTCCACGCTGCTGAAGATTCCGCTGGTGATTGGTGTGTGTTTGGTGTTTGGTGGTGGTGATTGGCGATGAACTGAGCTGGCTGGAAAACTCGAGCGGTACGAGGTGTTAGCACTTCAATTGCATCACGCGCAATGGCTGCTGGTGGCGGTCGAGCGCCACTTTTATGCCTTTCCCAGCGTACCGGATCCATCCAAGAAGAAGAACCCTCCAAGCCCGGACCCAAACCCGAACCCGAATCTCAATCCGAATCCGAAACCGAAACCCGGAGAGCGGCAAAGAACGGGCAGAGAAAGCAGCAGCAGGCAGCACAAGCCCCATTTCTACCGCACTCACTCGCACGCACACCACCAGCACACCACTCACACGCTCCAGCGATCTTACACTGGGAGAAAAACAGTGAAACTTCTTAGTAGAAGATAGTTCTAGTCACTGACTTTTAGAGAAAGAAAAAGCAATAGCCAGAGAGAATCAGTAAACAACTTAAAAATTATGATCAGAACCAAAATCGAAAGACCATCGTAAGAGCCATATATAGTCTCCAGACTAGCCATACAAGTCTCGCAGTGTACGAGAAGTGAGAGATCGCACGACCGAATGCTCTCTAAGATTACAACTCTCTTTCGAGGCTGCTCTCGCTCGCTCTCTCTCTCTCTCTCTCTCTTTCTCTGTCGCCTTGTAAAGTTCATGGGCGGTGGGAGGTGCGGTCGTAGCATTGAACTTGAAAGAAAGAGAGCGAGAGCGAGAGAGAGGGAGAGCAAGAGCGCAGAGCGACCTTCTTCTTTTGCAACGGCACCTGTTAACAGAGTTACAAGCATTTGCATGTACAGTGGGCACTGCGAATGAAGGAACTTTCAAAGAAGTTATTAGAAAACAGAAAAATTTCATTAAAAATGTTGTAAGTAAAGTCTTAATGTTTAAAATATATTCGAATGTCTGTTCAGGGAACAAGTTCTTCCTTCGTTCTTTACGTTCCCAAATCCTTGCATATAATCCCCCCAAGTCAGTAAGAACTGTAGCCAGAGATCTGTGCGGAAGAAGACGAAGAGTTTCCCCCCTCAGCAAGGACAATAAAAGCCAAGTTAATACCCAAAAATAAGCCACTTCTCGTGATTAGAACGTTTTAATCAGCCGAGTGCCTACAATGGAGGCAATAAAGCTGTTATTCCAGCCACCCAGGGCGTTATTGCTGGGATGGCAGTGCCACCGCCACCACCTGATCCATATTCCCCACCGAAAAGAATAGAGCAGTAAACCAACCATGGGGAATATAGCAAGCAGCCAAGCCAACGGCCGTTAAAACCGAGTCGTAATGGACAAATTTTGATCGCCCGGCAAAAGTGCGGAACAGAATGGAACGGAACCAAGCGGCACTTTATTTGAACTCGTTCGGTGAAAGGTGGGGGAGATTTCCAAGGGGTCGGGAGGGGGGTGGGGTTGGAGAAATGACGATGTGAAACACATATTTGCATTATACATTAACGGTCGACAGTTGGCGGGGGTTCGGGGAGGGGTGGAGTGGCAAACTAGGGGAAGCGAGAAACAAAGAAAATAAACATTAAAGTAAGTCGTGGCGGGATTAGTGTAGTAGTCAGTCAGAGCACTGGGAAAAATAATGTTTAATTACTTTTGATAACATTTGGTAAGTTAAGAGAGCTCTCTTAAAGGGATCTTTAAGTCTTCTTAACTGTCAGATTAGAAACAGATTGTTAATATATATCCCAAATCATCTTAGACTGTTCTTTTCGTGCAGCTTTGGGTGAACAGTGAACTGCGAACAGCTAGCAATGAGCATTGAGAACTCAGCCAAAGTCGCTCCACGCACTCAGGTCATTGCCATGCCATGCTGTTGTTGCCTAACATTTGGCCAGCAACAGCAAACGGATAACAGCGAAGGCGAAGGTGAAGGCGAAGAGCGCGGATAACAGAGAATATGCACCTCTCGCTCTTCGAGTAGTGCAGCTGTTGCCAGCAATTGCAATCATAATTCATTAGAACAACATCAATCGGTATCAAAATCGGACTTTGAACAAACAAATAATGATCCTAAATGATGATCGATTGGATTCCTAATTAACATCCCAGGAGTGCTTTGCATAGAGAGATGTTTCAATGAGAAATGATCGCATTTCCATGGCTAAATGTTACTTAGCCTTAGGTTTTGTAGGAGAAAACGTATGTTCTTTGCTGAATGGAAAATTGATCTGAATTCTTTTTTGTGTGCGTAATCGGAAAGGAACAAAGCTTGACATAACAGCAAAATGAATTGCTTTCCACCGAGGTGTGGATGTGCAGTTGCAGTTGCGGTTGCAACAGTTGCATTGCCAGTCGCAATTAAGATCGGAACGAATTGCAGAGCAGAGCCAGAGCCAGAGCCAGAGCCAGAGCCTAGCCGGAGTCGAGAATTCTAGTCAGAATTTGAGAACGCGAACGAGCCGAAGAAGCAGTCACAGTAGCCGTCGCGAAAGCGTAAAGAAATCGCTTCAAATGAGACAGCTTAGAGTTCTCGGGAGTTCTGTCAAGGCGATGTGGGGAATACGCTTTATGAGGAATAAAAACCATTCCTAGCAGTACTAGAAGTAGAGTTTGAAGTATAGTTAGCTAAGCTAGTTAGTTAATATTAATAAATATATATTAAAAATTAGATAATGCCTAGATATTTCTATAACCCAAGACTCTTCTTCATATATAGCTTGACAAACTTGATGTAGAACTAATCATGATCTGTTCAGATTATCTTTAAGAAGCATGGCTCGTCGCGCTCTTTGAGTTCCGCTTAGTTTTCCGCCCCCCTTTTACCCACCTCCTCGCACTGTGTCAAACGAACATAAACAAACATATGGAAGGCGTGCATATGGAAAAGCCCCGTTGTGTCAACCAACTGTCTCGCTCACTGGATTTTGGGCGCCATACCCCGGAAAATCTTCTACCCTGCCGTGCAGGTGGCTCTTCCAGATCTTCTGGTTCTGCCCGCCTGCATTTTCGATCATCGTAAATTGCCAGCTCTGCGGTTCGCTGTCAGCCAGCCTATGCACATTTTCCACTTCCAGTTCGCGTCATTTATTGAATAATTTCAAACACGTTTCCAGATGCTTTTCTTAAGGAAGGTTTTGAAGGATTTCACTTGATCACCATTCTGATCAGCTGATCTCATTGCCACCTGCGAATAACCTTTCACCGACCAGCCGGAATGATCTTATTTGTTGATTTTAGAGCTCTGGCTCTGGATTTAACTTGATTTCTTGCTAATTAGTTTTTATCATTGGGACGGACCCGAGTCCGTGATGCAGGCGCCGATATGGCCCACAGATGATGGCCATTAACCCGTTAGCTTTCTTCCAATGGGAAATTGATTGTCCCAACTAGATTCGTGCCTCCGACTTTTACGAGAGCTAAAAACAGAAACCAAAAAAACCAAAAGTCGTCAATGGATCTCGCCCCGTTTGATCATTATAACCGGAAGCTGTTGATCGCCGAGAGGTCTTAACCGGAGTCTTAACCAAATGACGTAGAACGACCAGATATAATGATGGATTCCCTTTTTTTTTTATATTCAAGAGGCAGGGGCAGGGGCGGTGTATTAGATCTCTGTGTTTTATGGGCTGGGAAGCCGATTGGGTTATTACCAATTGCCTCGGGAATACCTCGGGGTACATGTGATTACATAATTAGAGGATCATCTTGGAGATGTGAGCAGCCATCGAATGGGAAAATCTGTTCAATCTTTTCCGAAATGAAATCATTAGACTTAAGGACTTATAATTGCTCAGTTCTGGCATGCCATGGAATTTTAGAATTTCAAGTTTTAGTCAGGCTAAAAGCAAACCCAATGATCTCAAGACAGTAGTTAGGTTGAAGGAGTTCCAGCTTGGCCTACAGCCATAGCTCCTAAAGAGAGAGACTCCTTAGAGAAATCTTCTAACCTAACCAGAACTCACGGCATTAGCGCTAATAAAGCCAAGAAATCCCCATGATCATTGCTCATCTGCGTCTGCTAGGCAATCTGTGCTTGTGGCGACCGCTTCGAAGGTGTCCATCATGACTTGGCCTAAACCTGGCTACGTCAGTTACCACATTCCTTGCTCGGCGCTCTGCGCTCTTCACACCTCTGCGCCGAGTGGCAGCAATTCCGTTTGTCCGAAAACAAAACGGCCAAAAAGCCCAAAAACCCATTACCAACATACAATCAGCCAACGTGGCTAATTAGCGCCTTCAAAGGCAGCACTAAATGCGGAGGAGCACGAATGCACTGCGAGAAATGGGATGTAAGAAGATTCTTCTTTAATATTTAGATGTGATTTCCTTTTTTCTCAGTGTAACCGCCTCTGTGAGAGAGAGATGGAGACGTCAGAATGGTGGGCCTGGCGAGCGGTGGATGAGGATTCGGAATGGGGATAAGCTTGGTCATTTATTATGGCCAACGGCTGACGCTGATCCACCAACGAGCCAACAAGCCACTAAGCTACCAAGCCACCAATCCAGGTGATGAGCGTGTGGATTGGGAACTCGGATTTAGCAGAGCGGCAGAGGCAGAGGCAGTGGCAGAGGCAGAGCAGGAAGCATTTGGGGGCCTGAGTGGCAGGCGTTACCCATTTAGGAGCCTAATTAATTTTGTCCCATTCCCCGGTTGCCCTGACATTTATCTTAATATTTTTTGGCATCACCTGTTGACAAGATAGCGACGAGGTGGAGGTGGATCTGCTGGATGTGCTGGATGTGGTGGACAGACGGACGACAGTGATTGCCATTTTGCATTTTGCCAATTTAAATAAAGATGCCGGAGACATGCGAAGCGCCCATCGATCATCGTTTGCGGTATGATAAAAAAACCAACCCAGAGGCGGAGGAGAATCTGCACAAGATGAGGGAAAAAGTGAAATGCCTTGGAATCCATGGAGGCGGGACTGGAAAAGAAATAGAGGAGGAGGAGACCCGCTGGTCATACAATTGCTGGCCAAGATGATGATGATGATGATGCTCCGCCATGAGCCGCAGACACTGTCTCTCGCACCCTGGGCATTAGAATTAAGCTGTAACTTTGCATCAAAATTAAATTTATAGCTCCGCAAGACAGCCAAAGGAAAATCAGAAAAATTGCTGGCACAAAAACCACAAAGAAAATGGAAAAGATTTCAGTCTTCAGTCTT